CAAAAAACACACACTCGACACACAATAAAAAAAGAAAAAGACCAGACCAAAAAACCACTAGACTGTGCCAAAGGGAACAAGGACTTCCAACCACCTCCCAGTGCGATCCAACATACTCAACTCTCACAGGTTTCTTTGAAAAGACTTTGACTCAGTCCTACACAAATTCTTCTAAAACACTGCAGCTGAATAGTTCTGCAAAATATTGAGTAATACGCAAATTGAACTGTGTATTTATAAATTAAAGCGCCACTAATTTGATCCCTTAGGCAGCCAGGACCAGAAAAAGAGAATCAAAATCACATCCCTTCTTTTACTTTATATTTATAGATGTCTTCTTAGGCCTGCATATGTTTGTAGTTGGCTAATTTACCCATAAGAATTTCTCCTTTACCCTGGGGGGGGTTGGAAAAATCTGCAATTACAGGGTTATCTACTACAAGAATGCACACAGCATTTTCTTTCTTTGTCCTATATAACATGCAAGAGGGACAACCTCAAGAAAACGCACTATAAATTCTCCATAAACCACATCAGGAATAACTGTAAAGATCTGCTGAAAGGTCTTAAACGTTCCTGAATCTGTCCCACATTCCTTTGCCCCATCTCCCCATCAGGCTGCGGAGTTCAGCAAACAAGCTCAAACCGTTTCAGAGGAGCTGAGGGCAAGTAAAGACTTTTTGGCACAGGTCCTCCCTCCCCCGTGATTTCCCAGTGAATGCTTTTCACTGTTTGCTACTGAGAAGAGACTATTAAAGCTAAGAGATTGGACTTCAGAGCTTTCAAACCTTACTACTAGCTTCAGAGTCACCATTTCTTCTCTCACCTTTCCCCCCACTATCTTCTTCCAACCATCTCTTCCCCTCCCTGTACCACAGCGAAACAAAGAAAACAATACGCAAGCACATCACTTAAAAAAAAATATTTTTATCATTTTTCTTCTGGCTGCTCAAGACTTCTGAGCTCTTGGGACTTCTTCTATTTGCTGAGGTTGTAATAAGCTTTTTACAAAAGCTTACAAGCTGATTACAAGTTTGACATGGGAACATTCAACCCCATCCTAGTAGCCTGGAGAGATCTGCCTCAATTTTCAGACATGGTCTTTTGTAAAACAGTATTTTTATTTTTGGAAGTTTTCAATAAAACCAATTTAAACCCGGGATTTGGCTGAGAAGAGTCTCTTCAGAACAGGACGTACTCATGTTTCAGAATTCTTCCCAACTTGCCCTGCTTTTTCACCATTATTCACGGACTAGAAGAGTCCAAACAAATTTCTCCCGTTGTGTTTTGGGTTTAATCAGGAAGGCTGTGTGCCAGCCACTTCTCACGGCAGGACCTCCTGCCCTGCATGATCCCATACAGCTGGGGGCACATCCTCAACGTGGTCCAACACGCAAGTCTGCGCATCACATTTGTGATAATTTGGGAGGCCTGCCTTCAACACGCAGCCCAAAAAGATATCTCTGACTGGCCGGCCCCCATCAGCCAAGGCAGGCTCCTGGCCCTCTGCCTGCCACAGGACAAACCTGAGCCTTGTTTAAAAATCTTTTACCAAAAGATTGAAGTAAACACCTCCCACCGTCAATCTGAAACAGGCTCCAAGGTCCTGCCAAAGTTTACACTGTTCATCCAGGTCAAAAAATAAGCCTGATGTGGGAATCAAAAGGTGGCCAGAAAAGATGCTACCCACTTCATTCCTTATGCGCTATCTGTTACAGAAACCATAACTGCACTGCTCTGAAGCTTAGAAAGAGCCTTTGATCTTTATCTACACGGGGGGAAATTTGACTTTTAGAATTCGCCTTCAGATTGAGTCAGTAAAAATAGGCCAGAGACCTTAAGGGCTTACACTGCAACTTAGCGATGGTTTTAATGAGGTTTTAAACTGGACCAGTAAAGCACTGTACTTCTGTGATTTCTGCTGCGAGTTTCAACTTCACATTCCCAGGGTATTACTACTTTTTTTTTTCTTTAATAAGGGGCCATCCTAGACCTTCAGGACTCTACTTATGTTTCTGAATTGTATCTGATGAATGCACAAGACCGAAGAACTTCCGGGTGCCTTTGGAAGAGGCAGCAGAAGAGGTTGTCCTGGCTCCACATGACATCTGGGCTCAAACATGGGGGAGAAAGACTTAACAGTCCTTGAGTGGAAAGGTGGTGCAAGAGGAATTGCAGGGAGCATTTTAACTCCTTATTACACCCAGTGCTGAAGTATTTGCAATGTTTATAGTACACATCTTGTGACTCTTACACCATGGAACTTTTTGCAACGCTTCTTTCCCCAAAAGCCTTTCCTGTCCCCATGATTAAGTACACAAATAACATTCACACTGTAAAGTCTGTTTTCAGTTGCTTGTAGCTTTAAGAAAATTCCTCTTAGGGGCTGAAATGTTCTGAGTTTGATCTCAGCCCAGAGGTGACTTCCCCCGCCACCTCCAACCAACCAGCTTAGAAACATGCATTGGGTTACCCTTCAGCAGTGGGAAAGTGAGAAAATAGATGGTGCGGTGGTTTAAGACTCTTCCTTTCACGGGTGTTCAGAGACCGCCTTGGGGAATAGAAGGAAAGGGGAAGCACGGGGGAGGCAGGGTAGAAAAAACAAAACATGAGATGCAAGGGCGACATGGAGGGACAGAGGGAATAGCAAGGTTGGTCCGGTTGCAATCAATTAACTAACTTCCTAGGCAATGCAAAACAATTCTACAAAATTGGACCTTAGAGCTCCAGAGAAAAAAAGAATTTTCTGGGCTCAGCCAGACTCGGGCTGCAAAAAGCCAGCTCTTTTAGACGATGCTTAATCGGGAAGCAGTCAAAGAGATCTTTGTGTATATATCCATATAAAATTTGGTATCTCTGATCTCTGTCATACTATTACCAAAAAAGAAGTGTGACTAAGAAAGCTTGAATGCTATACCAGTATGACTACCCAGCCCTCTCAGCCTCAAGTCCCTTAGGGTTATTTTCTTTTCACAGGTCGTCTTTTATTTCATGCCCATCATAGGTGGCTATTTTAAGGGGCTATAGAGAGGTGTTGAATGCTGATAAGGCAAATCCCGTATCCCTTAATCCACTGCTAAATCACTCTGCCAGGCTTCAAGGGTACCAGACAGATGGAGTGCACTAGGAAACTGCCCACAGGCTGGCTACTTCAGCCCCAGCTCATCTTTAATCCAGGAAGGTTTTGTTCTGGTATTTTAATCATTGATTGACTGGGAACTTTCTTCCATGCTGGGTTAGGTAAAATATCCATATGTCAGAGGTACTGGGGAATTCGTAAGGCTGTAGATCATAGGAGTGGTGTGAGACAGGATGCGTCTCAAGGGAACCAAGGAAGCCATAAGGAATGTAAAAAGTCACAGGGTTAAAGCCACATTAAGACAGCTGTTATGTTAATGAGAGTTCTGCTTTTCTTCTAGCTGTGGGTCATTGATTTAGAAAAACACGAACAAGGTCTTTTTCATTTTATCATACTTTTCCACTGAAACTAACATAGCCCAAAACTTCATAGCCTAGATCCCATTTGTCTTGCTAAGAGAACTTGTGTAAGAAGTTATCTTTATTATGTTTGTGCATGGATGATTCCCAGGGCTTGATTTGGTCTTACCTGGCCCAAGTCTATATATGAAGCTGTTTTGCAAGCATTTCACTTAGTAAACACATTAAGAATCACACACCACTGAGTCTGCCTTCCAGACAAATTCATCCATACATCTGATTTCCTCTCACAGTCATAACAAACACTTACAAGAAATGTAGTGTGAAGTCTTCTGCAAAAATATTTATCAGGTAAACCTGAAAAAGTGTGGACCTTTCAAGACAGATAATAATACAGACATGATTGTCTTAAAAAGTCAGCAGGATGTTTTGTATTGCGTATTTCAGTTTGCAGAGTCTGAATGCCTCAGGCTGAGCTTCAAAGCTCAAAGCATAAAAACAGAGTTTCACCAAAGCAACCAAATTCACCTGTATCCTTGGTTAGATCACAAGTTACCACTAATTTCTCTTCGTTTGTTAGATCACAAGCTACAACATTTTGCTTGTCACCCAACCGCACATTTGCCTATGAACACTTGCAACTCAGACCAATTTAAACTGGGCGACCCTTTCTAAATGACTTTTAGATGTCAAGTAGTGAAACAGCAGCAGAGGATTCTGCCTGTGGTGTTAAACATTTCACAGGATGTGCTTTGGTGCTGTGAAACAGAGTATGCCCTAGTCTGAACCTGAACTCTGGAGTGCAGTTTATTCCAGAATTATTTGGCTGCTATTTGCCCAGTTTTGGACATCTGAAAATCCATGTTCATACCTTGTTGTTTTGTTGTTTTTTTTTAATTTAAACCAACTCCACGGTTTACTTCTTCAGCAGGTTAACTTGTTTTAGACAATCCATATCTACATGAAGTTGTGAAGACCTAACAGTTATTAAGGTCTCATTTTCTTTTGAATTAAACTGACAGTAGGGATAAAAGAGATGTTACAAGATTTAAATCAAGTCAACCTCAAAAGCTAGCCTAAAAGTAAACTGTAGATACTGCACCAGTAACCCTGCTCACTTGCCTGGCTCTAGAGGCACACTGTCCTTTTTATAATGTTTTTCTCTCCTCTGTTAATGCCTGAAAGACCCAAAGAACAACAGATGAAATCAGTTAAATAACTATAAACTGGCATAACAGCTGACCTGATTATATGCAGAGTGCTGTCAAATGCATAAAATAAGCAAACTGGGACAACAGGCCTTCTCCAAAGGCTCAGTATTGCATTCACGGTAGGTATGGAACAATTGCTGGGGGAAACACAAAACTTTTTTGAAAGCAGTTGTTGCCTTAAACAGTTGGAAGACCAAAGTCCATGTACAGATGCAAAACCCCCTAAAGGCTGTAAACAATGTAACTTCACATTTTCCTTCTACCCTTCTAGAATCACGTGCGCATATAAAAGGACACGACCTCCTAACAGAAAAGGAAATTCCCTTTGTTAGGCAGCTTTTAAATACATACCTGGACACGAGCCTCTGTGAGTTTGGCTCTCTGCGCAAGTTCTTCCCGGGTATAAATATCAGGGTAGTGTGTCCTCTCAAAAGCTCTTTCCAGCTCTTCCAGTTGCTCTGCTGTGAAAGTTGTCCTGCTGCGACGCTGCTTTCTTTTTAAAGGTAAATCTGGTTCAGAATCGATGTCAGAGCCTTCATCAGACTGGGGTGCTGATGCTCAAAAAAGAAAAAATGAAAGAAAAAAAATTAGCTTTAGTTGAGGAGAAAAAAAAAAGCAAAATATTAGATCAATCTATGATAACCTCTTATATGGGAAAGTTGCTTTTCCCCACAACTTCGAACTGAGTTGGTGAACTTCAAAAAAGCAGAAAAGTGAGAAACAAATCAGATTTAAATATTACATTGCGCAAGTGTGTTCAAACAAATAAAGAATTGCCAAAAGTTCAACTAAGTTTAGCTCCTTTTCCTGGCCCAAAAATACTTAAGGACCTCTAGCAATCTTTTTGAGTAAATGAATTATTCTATTTCTTTGTTTTAACTCCTCCAGCAGTTTGCAAGTGTTTAAAACACTTGAGCAGTACTGCTTAGTCCCAAGCAATTAGACAAACAATGTGGCTGTGTTCCTGTCCCTGAACTAGCGAAAGGATACAAACATTTGCACCAGTGTGCATGTTGTAACTTAAACATTCTGACTGTGTAGACCCATGTCACCTTCCCTATGGATCCATCACTGCAACCTTATTGCTGAAATGGTTATGGAACTGATTACAAAGGTATGGGGAATGCTATTGAAGAAATTATTTCTCATACACAAGCAAATATTTACTTCATATCATGTATATTATTTGTCCTACACTCTGAACAGTATTTTACACGTTTGTGTTAGTGTATCTCAGCACATTTAAACATTCCTGTTTGTTCGCAACTTACTTATCTGTCTTAGAACCACCTAACATAACCTTAGGATAGACCAGAAAGGTGTTAATAATAAAAAATTTAAAAATTTTGAGATGCATGCTGCACGGAGAATTCCTGTACGAATAGCTGGGAGCAATAGTTTGACTTGACGCTTCCAGTTATTATTGCTGGAATCTCCTTGCTGTATGTGAGGACCAGAGCTGAAATACACGTACTGCATGCTTTCCTCGCTAAGGTTTCATCATTATTCCTCCTAACCTTGGGAGGTTTTCCAGCACAGAGCACAGCTACACGCAGATGTGCTGATGCTCAGTCTCCAGGCAACTGGCCAGGCCATGACTGCAAATCAGCCAGGCTGTGTTGGACCAAAGGCCCCTCATACCATGCCCCGAGTCGGTACTTAAGGAAAGTCAGCAAGAAACAGACCACGTACAATATGTCATGAAAGGGGCTACCAACTCTTGCAATCAGCAGTTTAAAGAGAAATCAGAACAAACACTCTTCCTGGGTTTCAGGGACATGGAGAGAGTGAGATTACACACACACACACAGAGCTTCTGGCATCACTGCCTGTTTCCCTGTGCTCCCTGGCAGTCAAGTGAACTTCAGCTACAGCCCAGCCCTGGCTGAACCCATAGCTATAGCTGTGAAGGCAGCAAAGCCTCTTCTAGTACCCGATCATGCTCTCTTTCTCCAACAAACAGTAATGAACCAAAAGAGTAGACTTCCAAAACCAGTCTTCACGCCCATCGGCTGCTCTCCCAGGCGACAAGCATTCCTTCTTGCCTGAGTCTTCAAGGGAAACCACCTAAAGAGGGCAGACACTCCCCAGTGATGCTGAAATGGCTTGTTCAGTTGAAATACAAGCACTGCTTCTACTACTTCAATAATTCCAAATAAATTATTGATATAGACATTGATTTAAAGTAATCTTCTTAACACGATTTATTTGGAAGTAACTGAGAACACAAAGCCAGAAAGAAATCACTGTTTCTCAAGCCCTAGCTAAAACCCCCCACCATGTTCATTTCCAGCTATCTTACATTTCCAATTTCACTCAAGCTGTTTGAACTAATAGACACACCTAATCTGTTTACTTGGTCTTACAGCATGAGAAAGACAGTGCTTTTTCAGACAACCCAGCAGAAGAGTTTACGTATTTCTGCATACCAAAAAAAGAACAATTACTGCTAGACCAGAGGTTCTTTCATGAAAGCTATCTTAATTGTCCAGACACCATCAGTATTTTGGATCCAACATACACAGGGCATCGGGAGAAACTCCCATACAGCTCAGCATCAATGTATTGTGAAAACATCCAACTCCTAGAGTCTTTTATTTGCATACAAATTTTGCCCCAAGTAAGACTGGATTAAGTTGTTCTGGTTCTTGGGAATATTGTCCCCAAGAACAAAAGGGAATCAGCACAAACATCCTATCCCAAACAGTTGAAGTTCATTCCTTATTAAACAGGCAATCTAGGGTATCCTAAAACGTACATAACACATTGTCTGAACAATCCCAAATCTTCTCAGTTGGGGTCCCAGGCAAATCAGTGACACCTGCCTTCCCCAGCAACTGCCAAGTTACAACCCTCCAGGAAGGCTTCATGCTGCTGTTCAAGAATAAAAAGAAACATAAGGTATTTAAAATACAGTTTCCCTGTGTTAGCCTCATATACAATCTCCCACCTTAAGCAGAAGAGCTATTGCTGACAAGATAGACTAGTGGAGGCGAGCACACCAGCCATGCTAACAGGGTCGTATTGGCTAGCACTGCACCCTGACTGTACCTGATGTGGTAAGATCCGAAACAGAGCTCAGGAAGGTCCTTTTCGGAGATGTCTGTGACAAAAGTCATCTTTTATTGTGTACAATGAGTTTTGGTTTTTTTAAATAAATAAATAAATAGTCAAATCCTCAGATCTCGGGAATTCTTTCAGTACTCTCAGACTCTATGTGTATTTATGGAACTTCTTCAAACATCTACATACGTGCCTATAAAAAGCCAGCTTAAACTGTGCAATTTAAACTGGATATTTATCACTAAATTTCTGAAGTGAATTCCCTCACCGATTGGGTGGGAAGTATCAGGACACCTATAATGGTGCACACCCCTTTCTAAAAATATTTTATAAAGACTTAGCAAAATCTTGTGATGTTTCCCTGCGCCTTGCATTCCTGAAGCAGTAAGAATGCAGAACTGAAAGACTGACTTAATTTCATTTCATTTTAGCTTTACATTTCATTAAGCACTATATTTTAGCAGGGCCTGTTGCAATAAGACAAAGGGTCATGGTTTTAAACCAAAAGAGGGTAAATTTAGGCTACATATATAAGGAAGGAATTTTTTACAACGAGGGTGGTGATACCCTAACAGGTTGTCCAAAGAGGTGGTTGATGCCCCATCCCTGGAACATTAAGCACTATATTTTAGCAGGGCCTGTTGCAATAAGACAAAGGGTCATGGTTTTAAACCAAAAGAGGGTAAATTTAGGCTACATATATAAGGAAGGAATTTTTTACAACGAGGGTGGTGATACCCTAACAGGTTGTCCAAAGAGGTGGTTGATGCCCCATCCCTGGAAACATTCAAGGTCAGGTTGGACGGGGCTCTGAGCAACCTCATCTAGTTGAAGGTGTCCCTGCTTGTGGGAGAGGGATTGGACTAAATGACTTTTGAAGATCCCCTCCAACCCAAACCATTCTATGATTCTATATGAAAAGCACAAAGGTAAACCAGTCAGAAAAAATTGAACAAAGTGTCTAAGAGTCCAGCAAAACACGTCTAATCAAGTGCAAACATTTAGAGAGAAAGTAATAAAATTAAAGTAAGAAGAAAATATGTATCAAATGAAATGGCTTTCATACCTGTCTGATTACACTGGTGTTACCCTTCGCCAGCCCTGACTGCTATGCACAGCTTTACTGAAACCATTCAGTTCCTTTCTCTTGTCTGATTTGCAATATGAAAATCAGACAAATGTAATCTCAAACAATGCCTACAGGTCTGTACTACAAACTGCACTGTTTTTATTTCTTACAAAGTCTTCTTAATTATTATTAGTTTCAAGGAAGTTTTTATTCTTATCTTTTCCTATTAAAATACCAATATCGGACTGTTATATAGGTAAGAAGTCAATCAGAATATTGGCTAAGGCCGTAAACTGGACACACCTCAGCCTTTAAAATAGCAGTGATTATTTTATATGTGTGCAATAGCCATAGTGTATTGCCCTTTTGCTAACCATTATCTCACTACCAGATCCGCTGACTTCCATGATATGAAAAAATACTACTCAGCACAGGTAAAAGTGGTCAGATTTTATCTGAGTTGTTTCTATCTCCATCACCTCTACAGACACATAACACACCTATTGCTAACCTTTACACTTGTCCTGATGATCTTAATACTCCAACTCCTCAGCTATAAATAGGGGAAAGGAGACTCACCAGTGTCCTGGGAGATCCCCCGCCAGACCCCTGGGGCTCACTGGTATCCCCTCACTGCACAAATCAAAATGGGAGAGGCAGCCAAAAGCACTACCAGTGTCTAAGCCATGAAGTTTACTTAAAGAAGGAATTACAGAATTAAAGAGCAATTATTTGTCCCTTAACCCCTCGTGACCTGTCTGGTGGTCTGAGGAAATGCTGCATGCCAGTTATCACCACAATATGCAAAAAACCTCTGCCTAGTGTCGAAGGCATTCGGTCACCTGGAGATCTGCAACCGTCCCTTTTCCAAACACCGTAAACAGACACGGCAGGGAAAAAAACGAACAACAAAATAACACACAAGAGGTCATTCTGTGGGTTGTTCTTCCTCTCAGCAAGACATTTCATTTGAATAATTAAATAACAAAAACATGACAACCATTTAAAACCCATACATTACAGCTGCAGCACCACGCACCTGACAAAAGCAGGCAGAGAGGTTGTCTTTCTGCAGAGGCACAACTTCTCCGGTAATCCCCCAGCCACTAGGAAATTTTTTAATAAAATATTACACAGCCTCTTCCTCTAAGCGTAACAGCCTGGGGTCTGCCCTAGAGCAACTCTGCCGAGCCATGGATCTTGCTAAAATAAGACCCCCCCAAAAAAGCCCCCAAAGGCCAGGGAGGGTTCTGGTGGCAGTTTATTTGCTAGTTATCCTCCCCACATCTCCTCATTTCTTTCTTCACGCACAGTTAATTTCCCAGGCTCTCCCCCCTCGCCCCACACCTCTGTTAGTTGAGGCTGTGGCCGTGGGGCTGAGTGGGGGGTTCGGCAGCGGGTACCGGAGGGGGCTGCCGGCCCCAT